AATATAATAATATATATTCAGGATCTGATCGCTTATTGGGAGTCGACGCATCGTTTTCCGGTTTCGTCGGCATTGACCCGCAGAGATCCATATTTCGCTCTCTTCGTCGTGGAAAGGAAGAACCGTCGATCTCACGCTGGCGCTAGGTGGAAGCAAATCTATTCCTGATCGCCATGCGCGAGGGTGGTGTGTTCTAGATCTGTTTCTGGATCCGTACTTCCTCTACTTTCCAAAGCGAACAGATGAAGTGGACAGGTATCCTGGCATCGAAGCTCGCAGTGCCATCCTCGCGGATCCACAATTGCGAGTCTGCGGATCTGATCGAGGCTCTCGCTGAGTGTGACGCCGCAGATCCGTGGCGTACTCACAACTGACTGCACCATGAAGGTCATCCAGCTCGCCGGATCAAGCGTCTCGCAGACAAATTCTTCAACATGGCAGCCTTGAACCCCAACGCGCCGCCTCTTCATCCTCAGCCGTGATCCTGACACCTCTCCATGTATTACTTTCAGATCACTTCGTTAACCACAATACATGTCTTATTATTCTCTGATCTGAGTTCGTCAGTCTCCTTTGGTTCGGCCAAGTTTCTAACTGCGTTAATTCGCACAGATCTTCACTCCAGTACCTTCACACTTGTCGTTCGCTATTTGATCCATAATATTTCTGGTAATACAGTCCTAGATCCATATTGAAATGCGTTCCTGCTCAATCCATGTCCATCTCTGAGTCAATCTCCTTCCACTCAGATCCTCCATCAACATGATATCATATACAACGTCACGTAAACCCCGTCCACCGATCTGCAACCTCCTTGCAGATCCGTCAACCTTCAGCCACACCGATGACCGGCTCACCAGTGTGGATCCAGATCTCACGGTTCCTCGTGAGATTGCATCACACCAAAACGGTTGCGATTAGTGTGATCTCGCAAGAACTCGTAGAGAAGAGCACCTCAGTTGAGTTCTGCCTCATCTACCCAGGTTGGATCTTCATATCCACGCCAGTGTACCAGTAATTCTCGGTAGATGCGTCCATATCTAGTTCTCTTGCCAGTCCTCATATCGGAAATTCGCCCCACTTCGTATGCATCTGGATCTCGATCCTGGATCCAGCAGTCTTCGGGTAGGAGAGCTTCCTCGAAATCCACCCGATCTCTTTCTGACTCATCTAGGCGAGCTACTGGTCGATCCGGGAATATCTTGACCAGTTTGGTCTTCGAGACATGCACTACCGGGAAGATGCTGTATGTTGATCCTGCGATCTCCAATCTCACTGCATATTCCCCAATCTTTTCAACGACACGAAATGGACCATGCCATAAGTGTGCCAGCTTCTTTGCATATCCCTCACGCACTCGATCCAGGTATAACCAGACTCTTGATCCAGACTCTACATGATGAGGACGTACTAGATCGTTGTGTGTGTCGGCCCGATCCGCAATTGCTTCGCGTAGGCGTTGGTTCACTTGTTCTCGAGCTTGTTGGTAGTACTTTTGCATCCGATATCGCTATCTACTTGGATCTCGATCATGCCTGCAGGTGCTCCCCACTGGGACCACCGCTTCCAAAGTGGATCTAGGATCCCAACCGTGTATCATGTAGAAAGGGGTTTCACCTCGGATCCGATCTCTTGCGGTAATGATCACGAAGGTAAGCCGTTCAACGTATTCGTCCCAATCTCGTTGATCCAGATCCTGCACATAAATATTAAGAGCCCTGATAGTTGTCTGGACCATACGCTTTGCGGATCCATTAGCTTGGGATCGATAAGTCATGGTAGCACGATGACGTTAACCCAAGATCTTGTTGAAGGACTTATAGAAGTCAGACATAAAGCCTGGCTCCCGATCATGACGGATCACCTCGCTCGCACCAAATCTGCGGAAGACAGGTCTTCGCGATTGTTTGAGGGATCTGGAGGCGCTGGCTTTGGCGATCACATACCCCGAAAATAGATCCACGAAGATCAGCAATTCAGTGTTGCCATTGAAGGATCTAGGTAGCGAAGGTATGTGATCCATGGCAATGATCTGGAATGGTTATGTCGCCTGAAGGTTACCAGGTGACTCACCCTGGATCCGAGGTCGCCCCTTACCCGTTTCACAGTCAACACATTCTCCCACATATCGCTGCACACTCTTGTACAGCCCTTTCCAGTGAAAGTGATCACGAATCCGGTCATAGGTGCGACCGATCCCTTGATGGCCACCCTGTAGGCTCGTGTGATAGTGATGTAAAATGTCATGTTAAAGCGTCCCAGGTATCACCAATCGCATCAACTTGTCTCGATCTGCCGCTGCCTCCTTAGTTATCGGGCAGTAGAAGAGTAGATCCGACTGATCCACTTCGTAATTCATGGCAATAGATCCAAACACCTTAGCATCCTCTTGTGTCAGATCCCGGATCTCTCCAACCAAATACTTCTTCAGACCCGAGATCCACGACTCCTCGTCCTCTGCTTGCCGGATCCGCTCGATCCTCAGCTCCCTCACAACTTCCTCCCGCAGTGAGTCTGGATCAGATCCAGTACGCACTCCAGACCTAGCCTTAGATCGGGTCGTTACGGCAGATATCTGAGCGATCTCGTCTTCGATCTTCACCATCAGGATCTCATCCAACCGGTTCAAGGTCACTAGATCCTGGATCTCTTCTTCGGTTTCGACCTCGACGTCACATTGTCGCTGTAGTGCGGCGCTGGCCAAGCAGTCAGCGTTCCCATTCCAATCTTGCTAAACATGGAATAGCTCGTGATCCGGCCAAGCGCGGAGTCGATCCAAAGCCCGCTGGAGCAACAGTGTCAAACCCGGCGCCTTACAGTCGATCTCACCTCGTACTTGTCGGATCACCAGGTTCGAGTCTCCGCAGATCATCAGACGTCGTGGATCCCGATCTTTCAACAGATCCAAACATAGCAACAGGCCATGGTATTCCCCCTCGTTCACCGTCAAGCCTTCGGCGTACCCGGATCTAGCCTTCAGCACCCTCCATTCGGGCAGCTTCCACAAGATCGCGCTGTAAGCGCCTCCACCTCTCTTGATGCGAGCAGATCCATCGAAACTAACGACGTATAGCTCCTCATCGCATCATATAGTAGGGATCGGAGCTTGGATTTTGCGTCTTCGCTCCTTTTTAGGGACAATAGAGATCAATGCGTTATCCACTTCAGATCTAGGAGTAATACTGGCTGCCAATGCTCCTAAGCTCTTATCCTCTCCTTTGATACACTTGGTGATCTCAAGAGTCCAGGGCGACAACAGAGCAGCCCACTCTCCTATGTCCCTCTAGGACTGTGGATCTGAAGAGCCACGCCAAAGTAGAGTGTCGGGTCAACACGTGGATCGGACGTCCGACCAGTGCGTTGTAGTTAAGATCCAGGATCCTCAGGAGGGCTAATACCTCCTTCTCCGCGATGCCATAATTCAGCTTGTTAAACTTCAGATTACGGCTCGCAAACATCACGGGGTAGTAGATCTGGTCGTATTCCGGCATCAATGATCCCGAAATGGCCCAATCGCTAGCATACACCACGACCGTGGCTCTCCGATCTGGATCAAAGTGCCGTAAGATCGGAGTAGCAGCGATCTTGGCTTTAAGTACGCTGAAGGGCCGATGGGCATGGATCCAACGCGGATCCACCTCAGTAAGATCTGACGCCTCCAGATCCAAAGTCTTTCGGTGGTCGACCACCTGATCCTCTTGCGGTCTTTGATCCACGTTCTCCGTCTCCAATACTTGTTGGATCCGCGCTTGGGAAGCCTCTTTACCATCGCAGCAAAGTCAATTTCTCGCAATTCATACAGAACTGACGCGTAGATCGCGTAGTCTTCAATAAATCGGCTATAATAGTTCAGACTCCCCAAAAATGATTGCATAGCTCTGAGTGATCCTGGAAAGGCTAGATCAGTCAATACAGACAGATCTTTCGGATTCGCCTCAAGTCCATTGTGGGAGACCTTATGACCGAGATATTCCACCTTAGACATTCCCTAGAAACTCTTGACCACACTGATCGACAGATTCCACTTATCCCACGCTTCGAGTAAACCCTCAACTCGATCACATAGTTGATCCCAGTTATTGGCGTAGATCAGAATGTCGTCGATATATGATCTGCGGCTCAGCACCGATGGCTTGCCTGGATCTACCAGTTTCCCATCTTCAAATACGTCCGGGGTATCTCCATGGCCTTCCGACTTCGAAATCCGAGTGAATCCATATAGCCCGTTGTCGATCATACGTTGATAGATTCTTCAAGCCAAAAGGCATTCGATTCCATTCAAATAACCCGAATGGCGTGATAAATGCCGAGATCAAACGAGCACGATCCGTCATTTTCACTACCCAAAATCCGCTCGCCATATCAAAATCAACTACTCTAGATCGCCGTGGGCTTCCCCGATCGTGGTGATCATCAAGAAGAATGAAGTGGATATCAGGTTGTATATCGATTATCGGCTGGTTAGCAGCTTATCTCAGCTGATGATCTATCCAATGCCCTTGATCAACTACCTACTCGAAGATCTTGAGACGACACTTTGGTACTGTTCTGGTTTTTTGTGGATGGTGTTGGTGATTCTACATACTCGCGCATCGCTTCCTCATATCGAATCTGAGAACCTCGAAGTCCTTGGTCTCGTTGTGCTGACATTACCCCTTGCAACTGTAGTTGGCTTGCTATTCTGTGTTCCAACCTTCCCATACCATACCGGGGTTTTTCGCCGTCGTAATTTCGGGCAGCAAAATTTTGGCTTCTGTTTGAATGGCTTCTCTCACAATTGGGCGCTCCAACATTTTGCTTGGGATCCGCCAAACACCTTTACCTCTTCTGATTTTTGAATGATGTAGGGTGACTGAGTGAGCCAAATAATCGCCACTGTGGGAGACTTGAAAGTATTTTGCTGATCCATAGTATTTTGCCATAAAGCGTTCAGACATCATACAGTAGTCGAGACGATTTTCCGGGGTGGGGGATCGCTGTATACTCGTTTGTGGGGATTGTGGATTCTCCACCCGTCTACCACGCCTAGATTGGCAAGCCATTCTATGACACGGCTTCGAGGTCTTGTGTGTCGTGTTGAGGTCAAAAGAGAGTCTAGTACAGGGTCCAGTGTGACATTTAGGTCGCCCATTACCCAGTGTACAGCTTGATCACAAAAGTCGTGTTACAGGAGTTGGTCATAGAATCTGCAGTTTTCGATCGGGTCTACAGTAGCGTACACATTGTGTATATACAATTTAACGTTTCCAATAACAACCCGTACTACCAAGTATCTACCTTCAATCGTGAGTTCTTTCACTTCCTCTGTCGAACCAGAGCCTGGAAAATCTTCGTGAATTATTGTTACCACACCGCCACTACGCGGGTGTGTTGTAGATGATTGATCAGCGTTTCGATCACTGGCAAAAATGTTGCAGTTGAAAGTTGCTTTGAGTAAAAAATGTTGTAGATGATTGATCAGCGTTTCGATCACTGGCAAAATGTTGCAGTTGAAAGTTGCTTTGAGTAAAAAATGAAACCTTTTGAAGTGGTAAATATCACGAAACTTGGTCTCTTGGAGACAAGCAACATGATAGTTGGGAAGAGAATTTTGAATGATTTTGTGTCCGTTTTTCTTGACGCCATTCGTATTGACCATCGGTATGGACACATGTGTTAGTGAAAACTTTAGCAATCAATCAGGAGCGCACCTGCAGTGAGTCCAACTTCTCCATTCTCCTTTTTCATTTTCATCACTGCGAATTCATTAGGAAGCCATTCGTCACAGTTCTGCAGCTCAACCAATGTGTGAAAGAAAGATTGAGTGATCCCAATCCACCACTTTCAACTGGCGGAGGATAATGTCTCCACACTGACTCCTTAGTAAGGCGGGAAGTACGTTCGGGTGGAGTAGGCGCGTGCCTGAGAAATTGATCCATGGCACATGAGTCACTGCTAGGGCTTGGATCCAGTGATCCTTCTCAAAAATACTGGGCGCCACAGTCATGAAGAGCAGTTCAAACAGAGCCAGCGCAAGTGACTTCTCGTACAGATTGTCCGAGTCGCACTATTTTCCGACAAGAGGGGCGACAAATTTGAACAGAGCATCACGGGTTTTTGGTGCGGCGGTGCCGGTAAGATTCGACCATTTCTTGGCGAAAACCGATCCTCCGCTATTCGTCGAGACGTTAACACATCTGTACCACATGTGGATTTGGGCGAATTCATCCACTATTTTCGATTTTTGTCTCATCCACTTTGACATTCTGATCGAGAACGCCAATCGGTTTTTCCGGACAGTTGTCATTATATCTTCCGACGTCGCGCAATCCACCAGTTTTGGTTCGTGAATTGTTAGCGCGTTGCTTAGTGTTTCACGTTCATCGGTGAATGATATTAGTGAGGTTTCGATGTCGTGTGACATTCGTGGAACTAGTTCGTGGACCATCGTCGAAGCCTTAGAGAGTTTCACCTTGCTCCTCTTCTTTTCGTGGTAGTGGGAAAACGCTCGACTTCTTGCTGCAGTCTCGGTGGGATGAATCGCAACTGGCAGGATTTGATATCTTTGATGACCTTGGTCATCATTTTCGCTTTCACGGCATTCCACCTCGGCGTGAAGCTCCGCCAGGTGGCTCCAGAAGTTGGGAGAGTGCCAAGTTTCTGCTGACGGTGTTGGTACGGGGCAACTTCTTCTGCTTTGCCGGCGTTTTGGGGGCTTTGGAAACCATCACCATGCGTTGGACTTGAAGGCTCCGATATATCGGAGTTGAAAACGTTGTCGAGAGACATATCGAGTTGGGAATCCGACAGGTTGTCCATGGATTCGTCTTTTTGTTGAATAGGAGGTTCCGTCGATTCTGTCCTTGTAGGTTCCTCTCGGGTACGTTTCTCTCCTGTTGGAGAGGACTCACCAATTTGTTTACTTTTGCGGTTCAGATGGTTGTTCCGCGCTTGCTTCGTAGCTGTTTCCATGGGTTTTGTACCTTTTGATCCCCATGGGAGGTTACTCAGGTCGATACAGTGCGGCGACAGCTTACTTGGCTGGAAATGATAGTATTGCGGGGGAGCATCTTTCCCTTTCACCGCGTACAACACCCCGTCCAGCAGGAACTGACTGCACACATTTTCTTTGACGAGCAAGTTGCGAGGACACTCACGGCTACCCATGCAGAATCTCAAAATGCCTGACGAAACTTTTAGTTTCTCGTTCACGTAGGTCGTGTTGTAATACAACGGCTTACATCCCATCAGGACCAATGCCAGGAAAATCTTCTTGGTCACACATAGGCTTTGAATGCCCATGGCATCCAAGAAGTATTCATCCGAAAGTGAATCGCACCATTCGAATTCCAGTTGATTCCCTAGAAAGGTGCACTGTTGTCCTTCGAAGGCTTTCTTCGTTTCCTTCGAGTTCACCAGGAAGACCAGTTGGTTTCGTGGCAACTTGTGAACGTGCACGATAGCGTGCGCATTCAGAAGGTTGCTAATCACATCGTTGTCATTTATGAGATTCAAACTCGCAATGATTTTCGGGCATGACAGATTCTGTAGGCTTCTATCGAAGGTTGCTTTCACACAGAACGGTGCGTCTTGGATTACATTGAGTTGAGCATTCTCAGCTAGTTGCAGAAGACGTTCGGGATCAGTTACACCGTTTTCGTACACTTCTCGCACAAGGTCCTGTACATCCGCATTCACGGTAAGGTCAGAAGGTTGACCTTCTTGCACTGCAAGGCCATCCTTACGAAGCTCGTGGTTACCTTGAACCAGATCTCCAATCCTCACTCCTTCCTGAGGGTAGCTGTTTTGCTGGGTCGATGGAGGTGACTGGTCGCTGTCGCCTGCAATAGCTTCTCCGGTTCTCGGAGAAACCATACTGGTGTCTTACAGAGCTGTTCCGTGTCTTTCAGGTGCATCAGTGGAAGCATTGGTAGCCGACGGAGCATTGGTGGTGACGCTTCGGGAACTTCCACGGCCATGTAGTCCATGTTCACGAGCATTAGCTGGAGAGGCCATGTTAGGTTGTTGGGGAAAGGCCGCTTGTTTCTCAAGTTGGGACTTGCCGGCAAAAAGAGAAGTTTGACTGCTGTAGCAGTAGCTGTAACCCGACAGGGTAAAAACACACACATTTTCTCGATCTTGCCAGCGCATTGCGTAGCTTCTGTGAAGTATTAAGCAGACCTTATGGGTGTATTCAGGACACCAATGGAGGGACTGCACATCCATCCGAACCGCTTATAAATAGCTCAATGGAATACTAAGCAAATTTCTAGTATTTTTAGCTGGCATTATGTACAAACGGGTCCTAATAAGGCCTTTAATAAGGAACTTAAAACCCTTATCAAGGACATCTAAGGACCATCCCAGTTGGGTACAGAATCAAGTGCCTTCTTGAAATGCATCTACCGTCTTGGGTTACTTCGAATTTTAAAGCCGCGTTTTGTACAAAAACAGGTGTATCAGAATACGTCCAAAATATAGGTACACCTCCCTCCAACAACATCCACTTCGTCACGAAGACTTAATAGGCTTATTTGGGGTCAACACAAGAATCCGAAGACCTTAGTACGACCCCTTGCACCGGGTCGGTCTGTGTTTCAGGTCAACCACTGAAACCTCGGCAGTCTTAGTCACGGGCAAGACTAGGATGCCCATACACACTCAATATACCACATCGTCCCAAACGCGGAAGGGTACTGGCCTTATACGGCTCTATACGTGGGTGCCGAGGTTAATCCCGTGCTGGATTAATCAAGAATGACGAAGCCTTGCCTCCCAATGTATGGCAAATACTCGTATGCTGACGATCCGCCTCCCAACGTATGGCAGGATCTCAATGGCGAAGACTCACCCTAATACCCAATACACACTGTCAAATCTCTTGGCTTTGCCACGGGCGTACAACACAAAACACTAGTTTGTGTGCGCACCGACAAGCATAATCCTATCTACCAAGTTCGAAACTACATCACACAGGACTTACCGCTGAGTGGTCGGACTTGACTCTTGAGGTAGATAGGAAAATCTGTTCTGTTATATTTACCGTTATGGGCTGACGTATTTATTAGTGTTCCCTATAGTCATATACAAAAAGTATCAAGTATAAACGCGGCCGTTATGGAACTCCCTAAAACTCCCGTTGGTCCGACGAGTCGCAAGTCTTTTCTTGGCCTCGGATCTTTAGTTGTTTCACGTGCCGTTGAGTCTGGTCGTTGGATCTTGGACAGGCCGATGACTCAGTCTCCTGATGAGCCCGTT